TCTCAGAGATTCTCATAGCGGGGTCCTCAACCACAGAATCGATAGTACTGTCGCGACTCGAAAGTGAAAAGGGAGCTAAGGCTTGCCTTGACAAGGCGTCAATTTCGCTCGTCCGCGACATTCGTGCTGTCTGCGTCCTCTCGTCCAACGTGCTCTCTCGCATGTACCCTCCCCTGGCCGCGCTTTACAAGAAAAAACGAGTCACACAAGTAAAACCAATCAAAAGGACGCAGCATCGATTTTGATTGCGGAGGTCACAAACAAATGCGTAAGGACCTGCATCCAAGCACACGCTCTCCACGGCTCCAAGTGGATGTCGCAATCGAGGCTCGGCCGCTCCGCCTACTTCGAGAGCGTTCGACTCCCTTCTAGCAACTTTCAAGGTGAGTTTTTAGTTCAGTGACACTTCTTATGTACTTGACTAGGGCTAGTGCATCTTTCCACCCCATTAGAATCGAATGTCAAAACCCTGCTGGGAGTGCTGCTTTAATGAATGGTAAAATGTACTCACTCCTTGGTCATACATGAAGTGCCGGTTGAAGGCATGATCTTGTGGCTTTCGCCATTCGTAGGCAGAATATGCGAATCGGTTGGCGTAGTCGTCGGCCTGAAATCATTAGCCTGTAACCCTGAGAAATAGCGGATTTGAGAGGCAGCAATTCTCAACGAAGTTGAAAGAGCGTCCTCTCATAAGAAAAGCAGAAAGCTGTGTATAACTCATTTGGAATATAGCCATGTTCATGCCAGGGTCATCCAAGCTCAAGAAGGTAAGTGTAGTCTACGGAGACGGGTACCCGACAAGAGGCCCGTCGCGCGGCAAGAAGGCAGCGTCTATGCGGACGAGTCGCAGCGCGTGCTGTGCGATGTAGGACGTACAATGGTACATTCTATTTACTTGACGCGAAATCACTACAGTACGCTGCGACTCGTCCGCTGACTCTGCTTTCTTGCCGCGAGACAGGCCTCCTATCGGGTACCCCACGGAGACTTTCTCAAAGAGTGATAGCACTGCTTCCGAAATTCGCGTAAAATAAATTTGTTTGTCAGACGTGGGGGAAGGGTCAATTTACGAAAGCAGTGGCACACTGTCCATGAAAATGATCTATACCCCATAGTTAGAGCGATAGGATGAGATGAAGCCTAAATAGCTCACCTTTAGCCGTGCTCCAACATAGCGGTCCAGGTACTTTTGCGATTCCCGAAGATACGACGCGTTGTTTTTCATTTTCTGAAAAAAAGTCTTTGGTGTCGGAATAATCTTTCAGAAACTAATTGAGCAACTATGATATCTGTACGTTCGATTCCCTAAAGTTTCACAGTTTTCGGATTCATCTAAATATCACAATAAAGCATATGAGGGTCGTTTTTGGATGCGCCATGCATCCAATTTTCATTCAGAATGTACTGGTGTCGGAATGCAGGTGAACACGCTACAGAAACAGTCAATGTAAAGTCCGCCCCTCCACACTACCATGCAAACTTGTCAGCCAGAAATCTCAGAAAGGGCTTGCTTGGTGCAGGGATAAGCGATTATTCATTTCCTTTCTGGAAGGCTAGTTAATCAAAAATCGTCATACACAGTGGAGAGGGGATGCGGTAGGCCAAGATTTTAGGACAGCACAATCAAACGGCGGACTGGTGAGATTACTTCGTTACTACCCTGTGCATCGATTTCACATGTATTTTAATTGTTCAAAATATGTTGCCGTAATTTCTAGACCAAACAGTTAAAATTACCTCATCAAAGAAGATTCGTCTCGTTTGGAACGTATAGTACGGTACATGTGATGATAAAGGAGTCATGTAGTTGATTGAAGGACGATATGGCCGATTAATAATATCGTGAGTGTCCTGAAATAGTCTGTGTTTAAAGCTGCCCACAAAAGGAAAACTCGCCCATGAATATGTAGGGATTTTATCAAGCAACGTGGTAGCTTTTGAGAAATTCCAAGGAGATTTTGAAATTGGTAATCTTTTGGAGAGTTTGCGGGGAGCATCAAAAGCTGCTCAAAATTACTTGCCCATCCTTCTGCAAGTTTGGTGAAGCCTTTTCTTCAGATCTATGCACTACCAGAACAGTTGCATATCGCGCTCATCTGCTTACGAACAAGCCCGTTGAACTAGGTGAATTTTCTCAGTAAGGTTCCGAGGAGTCAGGGGATTATAGATAGAGTGCTACCGTCAATCTGTCACAATAATTGCCTGCTAGGCAAAGTAACAGTGTGTACATGTTCAACGGGTAAACGTGAACGAGTTTCCCGTTAGATCTCTTGAAAGAAGCAGCTTTTCTCATGCTCGTGCCTGTGCCTTTAAGTTTGGGATTTGCCGTGCAACTGTCTACCTTTACTGAGGAATAAGGATGAAAAGTAGGTCAAAGCTTTTGACGTAGCTTTTTTCGAAAAAACCACTCACCCTTCCAGTCGTGCCACCGAATAGCTGTTGTTGTACCAGTTGTGCACGTGAGGCTTGTAAACGGGAGCGGTGTGTACAATACGTTGGGCCTCTCTGAAAGCATTGTCTTGTACTACTGAATTTGCTTATTATTCGCCGCCGAAAGTGCACTCACTGGGTTGCCACACTTGAGAGTTTCAGAGGACGAGAATTTTCTGACGAATTCTTTGTAGGTAAAGAATGTGGTTCGCCGCTTCATGGTACCCGTTTACCCGTCAACCTATGATGGAAGGGTGGTGGTAAGAGAAGGGGGATCGCATTAAGGGAAGCGTTGCAAGACTGATGGTATGGGGAGGGGGGGGGTGCATCGAGGCCTCGCTGAAAGGAAGAAAGAAGCAAAATATCTGAAAAGTGCGGACGTGAAGGTTGACCATGGAAAACTCGTCCATCTGCGGCCCGGGTAGTGTCTTCAAACTGATTCTGAGTGTTAGGTTAGGTCCAGGCACCTAAAGACCGAGACTTCCCGTCTTATAGCGAAAACGATTCATTTTGCCTCTTTTTTCTCTTTTTTTTCGCATTATCGGAGCCCAACAGTTACCAGTCATTGGCGATGTAAGGAAAGACTGAGAAATATCACTTTCCCACTTACGTAAACGACCATTTAGTTGGGGATTCCTTGAAGAGCTAGAGATTCCTCGACATCGAACAATGGACGCTGTGTTCCAAAATTAGGATCAAGTTACCTGCAGTACTGCGGAAGTGCCAAAGAAGGCGCGAGAGTGGAAACCGAGTCCGATTTTTTGATTGGATAGTCATGTACGGCTTCCTGAACAAAATTATGAGTGCCTTTAATTCATCCCAATAGAATCAAAGAGCTTCGGTCTGATTTAATACAGTTTAGTAATGCGTGGTCGCTCACCTTGATGTATGTGAGGTGTGTGAAGCTGGCACTGCGAGCCAACTGCTTAGGTTTTACCCAGATGTCTGTGATGTAGTTGCTGTACATATTTTGAGCACGAGCTCGTTCGACATACTGCCTGGAAGGGAAGCATCTGATGACTAGTGATTCATAAGTTAGTAAACAAGAGAAAAGTTATTAGAATTAAGTCAGGTTCTTGCAGAAATTATTACACTCTAATCAATACCCATTTGAAACAAGTTTCTATATGAGGAATTCTTCTGGAATTCTTAGCTCTTATAGACTCATTTTTCAACGTTAACTGTAAAGACCACTTCAAAGGTCTCTGGTTCAAAGGTGTCTGAGTCAGCGCCTCTCAGCTGACTGGATAGCAAATGCGCACTGAAAAAAAAACGAGCTCATCATGCCAAACATCGGTTTGATGGCTATAGGACCGACAGGAGACTATTGGAATACTCCTCCAGGACTGCAATACCTCGAATCTCGAACATAAAAAAAGGATAAGGATAAAGCATTTGCCGTTGATCAATCCCTTTTTTGGGATGCGGCACGCATTCTACTTCCATTTGTACATTCGTAGTGGCGTTTGAATGCGATGTGGCCTATACAATGACTTGCGGGGCCAGCCGATGTACAAGTCAGTTTTTATCCTCCCAGACAAGTCTGGTACCAATTAACCGACCCCGGAGGGATGGAAGGCTTGGTTGGCCCGGGCGACTCACGACCCAGGATTTGATCCCCGGACCGCTCGCGTGGTAAGCGTGCCACTTGCCACTACACCACTTCCGCCCTTCGATTTATACGTTGCACGAAGCTCCAGGAAGGTGTTGAAAAGCACCATAATAAGGCGAAAAATTATTCAGATCAATGACTCGAAGCGACAGGTGGCGCCATCGCTCACGATGGGTTATTCGGCTAATCCATCAGCCAACGGAATATCAAGCTCTTGATCAGCATGCAGCTGTGAGGTCCAACCGGATAGATAAAGTGTTTCTCATGACTATGCCCTCACTAAAAGCCAGATGGTATCACTATTATTATTGGACACGAGATCAATTGACTGCTCAACGCTCGCTTGTCAATAAACCTTTCGATCCGTCCAGGGTCGGTGGAGTGGTGTCAAACGTGTCCGTGAGGATGAATATATTGGTTTCGACACCGCCCAACACCACAATTCATTGTAAAGGCCACATTGGATTTTAAATACCGCTTGATCCTGAATGGGTGTGAAGTACATGGCGCATACCGAAATGATGATAATCAAAGCCGTGTGCTTCATGATTCTCGCTGTTTAACACATTGGCGACAATGTCGCCCGATGCCGGGCGACACCCCTTGAATTTTATTCCTTTGCGCATATTCCAAATTTTGAGCGGTGCTATATTAACCCGGAATACGTTGTCAAACTTGTAATGGCCACGTTCTTTGAACATCTTTCACAGTGTGAAAGTTCTACAGAAGGAATTGCTTTTTCAGTGATAAGGTTGTTCTTTCTTGATGTAGAAAGCTGCCTTTTTGCATGCTATTAGCTAGCTCAATGGTACAACAATTGGCAAAAAGAGATTTGTATTCAACCTCATTTGAGGATTCTACAGTGGAAAATTGAATTTTCCGCGAGCGTTCCGAAGTTTCACCTTGCGGGACGGGAAGATTTTGCTTGGTTTGAGCCCTTTAACCCTTTCGGCCCTGGCGGTGGCAATTGCCACCACCAAATTCAAACGCTTGCATTGCCGCTGAAACAGCATGGTTTTTCTAATCCTGCTAGAGGTTGCTTCAGTCAACCTTCCCCTTCCTAATTATGAGCTAAACCTGCCATTTCATTGTGTGTTGCTGTTAGTATTACAAGTATTTGTGTACAAGTGCAACAATGAATGGGCGCTGACCCCCGCAACCGGCCAAGTAAGTGTGACTTTTTCTTAAAATACTTGAAGTAGATCCATTCCTAAATCAAAATTATGGGTTATAATGTTATGCAAGATTATAAACTTTTTCGGCATAACTATGAAATTTCGAATTGTTTCGACATAAGCTTAAAAACTAAGAAGGTGGGCCAATTTTCAAAGCTTCTTAGTTTCTTTGTTTGTGATCGAATAGCTTCCAAATTTCGCCATAATGATACCTATATGCTCACAAGTAATAAACAATAGCTAGAAGAAAAATTTCTCCACGGGGAAAAATTCAGGTCCGAAAGGGTTAAATATTACGAGGCAATGATTTCAAGAGAGCGA